TATGGTATTTCTAATTGGAAGTATTTTGTTAGAAATATTTAACCCTTAGCATTCTAGCTGGTTTTGTAATTTGTTAGCAACTGCAACTAATTTTTATGGTATTTCTAATTGGAAATATTTCGTTAGAAATATTTAACCCTTAGCATTTCAGATGGTTTTGTGATCTGTTAGAAACTGCAACTAATTTTTATGGTATTTCTAATTGGAAGTATTTCGTTAGAAATATTTAACCCTTAGCAGTCCAGATGGTTTTGTGATCTGTCAGCAACTGCAACTAATTTTTATGGTATCTCTAGTCAAAATGAGAAATGCTATAACATACCTTCGATCTTTTAATAAAAATCTAATAATTGATAATAGAAAGTCTAATAATATTAGTTTCTTTAATACATTAAAATATTGAGTATTGTAACTGGTGTAATACTGGAGCCTACAGAGTTCAAAGGGTTAACTCTTTGTTTTTCACTTGAAATATTCTGTACTTTCTAATTTGATATAGACGAGATTCTTTAAAATGAATTTAACAAGAAATTATATATAAATTAGGTAACAGAAGTATTTTCTTGTAATATGTCGCGTACTGATGTAGTGTACAAAGGTTAATGGTGAATCCCAAAATTTATAACTTTGCTGAATCAAATCATCTGGCGACTGGTATGATCTTTGATTACACGGGAGTTCAAAGGTTAATTTCAATGTTCAAAGGACATTCTATTTTATTGCAACCACTACCTGTTTCAACCATTTTTTCTATATTTATTTGTAGTATCACAATTGTACCATTTAAAGGTAACATTTCAATGACTCCCAAATATTCTTCAATAAATAAATAGAGCGTCGTATTAAGCTGTAATTGAACGAACTAACGTCGACGTGAACTTCAAACTGAAAAACCAAGAGCACTTCGGACCGCAAAGGGTTAATTAATAGGAAAATAGGAAGCTAAATAAATAAAGGAGACTAATTAAATCATTTGTTTGCGACTTAGTCTTCCAAATATGAAAATTTCATCTCGTCGAAATGTCGACATCCGTCCGCAAAGGGTCAATTGAAATGAATTATACTAATTCGATTTGGTTGGAGGTCACCGGTGACCCCCGTGGCATTCAACGTGTTAACACGTTAAGCGCCATGTCAGCCACTGGTGACTGACGCTTCTGAATGACTAAAAAACAATCGTAACATACAAGACAACCGATGTGACAACGAGCATCGTCATCGTGTATCAAGATCGAAATTAATTCTCGCAGTGAATATCGAAAAATTGATATCTCTATTATCGAATAACCGATTATGTTCCGTCACGATCGAAAGTACCAGTTTCTCGGAATGAAGTCACGATATCGACAGTGCTCGATCATCATCCTCTCGTCTTATCGGTGTTCCCAGCCGCTCGACTCGGTGCGAAACAATTTTTATTTAACCACCATCACCGTCTTCTCCTTTTTTTATTGAAATGCATATCCGGCAATAAAGGAATGCGCAGGTCGTAATTCTTCTGCGAATCGCGCGCAGTTTTTCGCTCGCGGTTTCTGTAACAGTCTGAAGGGTTGTTAAAATTGTACAAGATAAAGTTATCAATGTTTCAATATATTTATGTAAATGTACCATCCTTGCGTCACCTTGTTCACAGGTTCCATTGAATAATTTCCAGCGATCGAAATTCAGCGGAATGTAAAGCTATTTTCGACAAAGCTATTTTTCGGAACTATTCAACAATTCGCATAGAATTTTTTCTATCTCTTCTTAATATATTTTTGTTCCGCAACTGTTTCGAATTTTAACTTCTACATATTACCGTCGGTTTTGGAAGGCGTGTAGACGAATAATTGGCCTGTAAATATATTTATGGTACGATGAATGTATTCATGAGCAATGACAAACGTTTATTACGAAGGCTTCCGAATTCGTACATATGGAAAGCAAAAATGCAAACGGAGGAGACCTGTAATCTCTGCTGCCACCGGGAATTGCAAAAATTCTTAGCTTCTGTGATCGATCAATTCCACCGAGACGACAGTCGAAAAATTTGATGAAATTATAATACATCCATAAAGAATCGATTAACCGTTTCAAATTCGATAACATTCCGGAATTGGATTTAATGACCTCGACTCGTGAATAAACTCATGTATGTCCAAAGTAAAAATTCAAACAGAAAAAGAAGTACAGTTCACTACCACCGGGAATTGCAAAAATTCTTTTCCTCTGAAGCGAGGTATTCGCCGGAAGAACAAGTTGTAATTTTCTTCCCTTCGAGCCGGTGATCGACTAACGGTTCCCGCGGGAATAGGTTTTGCCGGTTACAGTCGACTACCATTTGTTCTTTTTCCGGCGGTCCGACGGAAAGTCCGCCGAAGTAACAGCGTTCCGCGAGTCACGGTGAACGTCGGTAGCATTCGGACCTCGTCAACGCGAAATCAAACCGAACTATTGATCGGGAACGGTGCATCACGGCATGCGGCTAATGCAGGTCCCGCATGCGACTGCATTCGACTCGTATGCTACCGTGCATAGGCATTTGGACGCTCGACGCGACGGTGTTAACCCTTTGCACTCGAGAGGTGACTCACTCGCCACCTGATTTCGTACGGTGAAACTCTAAAATTTGATATTTAATGCTATAGTGGTGACTGTTATTATTAGATATTGAAAATGTGGATCTTCGGTAAAAAGAGAATTAGGAAACAATATGTATGTATTTAATGAGATAAGGAAACAATATGGACAACACGTAAAAATACAACTTAATTAACCCTTTATAGGGCAAATTCATTTTTTGATCATTCGTATTCCCTGTCGCATGTATAGTCCCGGATGAGCCCCAAGTTTATAGTGGGGCTACTATTATTATAGATATTGAAAAGGTGGATCTTCGGTAAAAAGAGAATTAGGAAACAATATGGACAACACGTAAAAATACAAAATGTTCTCCGCTGTCTCTCACCATAATGTCCTCACGCACGCATTCCCCCGTTAAGGGGTTAAGTGACAGAACTAGTTCATTTCGATGTTCCATGTGTCGATACATTGTATAAAATTTGATATTGAATTCTAAATTTGATTGTTTTGTTCGGTGAAATCAAACGGCGATTGCAAGGCGCCGCTCGAGTGCAAAGGGTTAAATGACGAACGATATTTGACCCTCGATTTACGTGAAAACCGCGCGAACAGAGTTTGTCGGTACAAGGGAACACGAAATATTGGAGAGGAAAGCTGGTGTTAGTTTTAGAAACAGATATAATAATGATACTTTAGAAGATAAACGTGTATTTTATTCAGTGTTATTAACATGACTGCGACGGTGGGGTCACCGATGACCGGAAAAAAGTATTTATATTTTAATATAATACAACGCATTTATATTCACTTAATAATTGCACCGTGATAGGAAAAATTATTGGAAGTAGGAATTAATTCAATTCTTCCTTCAATCGACTACAAATCATTCGAAATGTTCCTTTTCCACTTTATTTCGTAATTTCCTGTTTTGCCTTGCAGGATAAAGTCGAAAACTAGGCTAGGAAAGTTCATCGCCCGCGATTCGCTTTTGTCTGCACTCGATTCTTAATTAATGCGCATAGAGAAACCTCATCTTCAATTCAAAATAACGCATAAATTTATATAAATTATATGTATTGCCCGGCGATATAAAACGCTAACGATCATTGGCAGGTTATAAATTGCTTGCGAGATAAACTAACGTGGATCGCGGCCAATAAATTTCCCGGATGCAATCGAAAGTATAGTTATCGTTTGAAACTGCCTTATCACGATGACGGTTGTGTTTTCTACTGTGACGTTCCTCAGGCTAAATATGATTCGATATTTAAATTCCGTTATCTGGTGATTCGTTCATTAACACTGGAATTACTAGGTGAATCAAAGTGACCCGTTCGAAAATTTCTATTTCATAATTATCGAAATCATGGGAATCCCCTCGTGGGAAACTCCAAAATAAATCTTGCTTCAAATCTCAAGAAACGTGCTCTGACAATCTTCATACGGAATTATAAATAAATTGCACGAATTTTTGGCAGTTCTAGCGTTAACGAATACAAAGAATTCCTCCAAATCTGCTCGCAGAAAGGCGACACTTCCGTAAGCAGAAGCGACACGGTTCGAAACGAAGACAGGTTCGTCTTCGAAAAATCGCGAGCGTCGGTGATAATATTGATGCATTTTTAAACATCGGTTAAACGAAAATTTCTAACTTACAGAAGAGAATAAGGGATTGGATTTGCAATTGTTAAAAAGGTAACAAATGTTTCTCCGAGAAATTATTAAAGAAGTTCATTTAGCACTACGCAAATTGAATTGTGAATCAATTGAAGTCTGAACAGATGCACTCTTGGAGTTTCTATAGCGAAATTTTCAAAAGTCAGTTGAACTGCTCGGTGGTTTTAGTGTTAATTTAGGACTAGCAATTGAACGATAGACTAAAAATCAGGCCGGCGCTCAATGTGTTGACCAGTCCGATCGCCGCACTTCTTTCGGAAAGTTCACTGATCCTCGACTCGAATTTCGAATGGAAGAATCAGATCCTTCGCGGGGTACATTGTCTTATCGCGAGAGAAACATCGTTGTGTAACGTTATCGTTCGATCGCTGACGTTTACGAAAATAAATGAACGTTTGTTTATTCGGTCGAGAATTTCGTTCTATCTTCGAGGTAAAAGTTATCTTAACCTGTTATCGTAACGGTAAAAATTTTAATGAACCGCGAAGCTAAATAGGCAATAAATGCGGTACTTCCAGGGTTAAAGTGCATAATAATTTCGAGAAATGAAGGTTTTCTAAAATTAAATGCACGATAATGTGGCTTAGAAATTTAAATATCGTAGCATTGATGTCATTTTGCAACACAGTGAAAGCTAACTTTAGCACTCGCGCGCGTGTACCGGTTAAAATTCAGAATAATGGTAACTTAAATTAGTTATTGACTTTCAGATGAACATGTAAATTTTGTTCATTTTGCTATTTTATATATATATACATATATATTAAATGTATTTGTCCCAAGTTCGACGTGGATACTCATTGGTTAATTTTATTACTGATCTCAGTGGATTTCAGATTTTTTATTCGAAACGATTAGAAACAGCATAATCAGTTTGTCATCAGCTTCCAGTAACAAGAGAAGCTGACAGGAATCAATTGTTACGCAAACTGTTTTTACAATTGGCTGAATTTAAAAACAAAATGTTGAGTTTAATCGATTTAATACTCATCACAGCGAGATATAAATATTCGTAATCTACTTATCGATCATTATCGACGCATTCGCGATAAACACACGCACACAGGGACAGTTCCTTTCTTTCCATTGTTGTTTAATCTCTCCAACAATAATTTTGTTCTAAAAATCGATCGCATACAAGTAATAGCACCGCCTCCGCGTGATTCTGAATTTGTTCATGTCGCGGTTGCTCCGTTCGAACGAAGTTTCTGCGTCATCATTAAAACCAGAAGCAATAAATTATGTAGGCGTAGATGACGACGCCGGCTGCGAGCAGCACCGGAAGTATGGAGGACGATTTATCTTCCGGCGAATTGTATTCCCAGTTCTCGTCGTCTATCGTCGGGTTTTGTACACCTGGGGACAGAAAGCGGTTTCTGGATCACGATTTAATATGACCGTAATTGTCGAGCAATTTTTCCAATTCGACAGTCGTAAAATAAATTGTCACATATTTTGAATTTTTTTTCAGTGGAATGACTTATTTAACCCTTTGCACTCGAAGCTCTCTCACTAATATTACCAGCAATTCGAAGGAACTTTAATGGAAAAGTGAAAAGAAAAGTCATAGACTTTTAATATTTTTCATAGATTATAGATATGAATCTTATAATATATTTGAAGATAATTTTACAGTTCATAACGGCAAATTTTAAATGGCTCTGCTCCAGAGACCTCGAGTTCAAAGGGTTAACTATACTTTCTGCATAGGTATATTAATTTTCATTAAATTTGATTTTTCGTTAGGTGTCAGTAATATCTGTGAAGCTTTAGTTCTTTCCTAAAGGGTGGGCCATTTCTACCTGACTTGTTCTATCTCAGTGATGTTACCACTATCAATCTTCGCACTACCAAAGAAACAGATTGATTAACCCCTTAATGCACAGTTTTTTTGAAAAAAACCGGCCAAAAAAAAAATCAATTTTACTGCGCTTTTGTTCCCTGGAAAAAGGCTATATTTTATTCTTGAATAAATAAGTGTTATAGCTGACAATCCCGTGTAAATGATAAATATCAATAAAACGATTTTTTTTCTTTTCTCGAATTAACTCGAGCGTACAAGTTAAGGGGTTAATTGAAAAACTGTAGCTGTTGTACAATCAGTCTATCGACGATTCTAAAGAGAATCAATTATTATTGTTTAATATGACGCTGCTCAGCATATACCGCATTTCACAGTGGGCTTAGTTGGTGTTTCAAATATCTCGGTAGAGTGCGAAGGTTAACACTAGACCTACTGAATAATGGAATAACGTTTTCTCTCGCGAATCACGAAGGATTGATCGGAGGTTTAAAAGGTGCGCAAACGTTCTTAACACGTCTCAAGCGGGTGTTTCCTTGCCAAACATTCATCATACAGCAACTTTTTGCAATTCACAAAATTACTTCTGCGCGAAATAGCTATTTTTAATAAAACTTCTAAACCTTATCCACTTTGGAAAAATTAAAACACTCTCAAAAATCAAAAACTAAGAAAATAAAAAATTTAATAATGTTTTCAAGTGTGATATCTTCCAAAGCACTTTCCGTTGTGCGAAGGTATATTGCAAAATCTACATATACACCGCGTTACATTGCATATTTCCTTCACGGAGCACACACGACATTGTCGCAAAGTATTTTTCCTTTTTCCGGTTCCCACGGTGGGTTCTAATGTATGTTTCCCCGTGTCCATGAAAAGTCTCGTTCATAGCAGTGCACTAAACGAGTTTAGTCGTTTCCGCTTGAGACGTGTCAAATAAACGAATAAACTTTCATATTAAACCATAATCGAATGAACCATTTGTTCCAGCGACCAATTCACTAATTCAGAATATCTCGTGACTAACTTCCTTACATATTTCTCGCAGATACTTTTTCGTTTAGAAATCATTTCTTACAGAGTAGTACATTTCAAAACAATCTAGCATGTATAACGAACAAAAACATCTCGACACGTGGAATTTAACTCGCATTAACCGATTCCAAGCGGAAAACCGAACGCACTTCAGACCGCAGAAGGTTAAATCCTAACGTAGAAGAAAAAGAGGAAAAAACATTCTAATCTTTAACCCTTTGCGATCCGAAGTGCTCTTGGTTTCTCAGATTGAGGTTCACGTCGACGTTAGTTCATTCAATTACAGCTTAATACGACATTCTATTTATTTATTCAAGAATATTTGGGAGTGACTGAAATGTCACCTTTAAATACAATTGTGATACTACAAATAAATATAGAAAAAATGGTTAAAACAGGCAGAGGTTGCAATAAAACAGAATGTCAGCGTATCCCTGTTTGTTACCTAGACAAGAGTTCAATTATCACCTTCAATTAATCACATCAACACATCTGAGACTGTCAACACAGTTCTACATCATCAAGAATACTTTAGCTGTACACTGGTGACATTTCTCATTTTTTTAGAAGAATCGCGGTAACATAGTCCTATGTTATTTTTAATTAATTTCAAATTTCAATTCTAGAAGTGTAGTATGGAAACGGCATAGAATTGAGCGATTGAATTTCACGTGTAAAAATTCAAAATTGACGTAGAATTATTTTCTAAGCATCGACACGAGAAAAACAATGTCTGACTCGACATAGGACTATTAACCCTTTTAGTGCCAGCGACGATATATCGTTCATCCAATAGCGCCTTACTATTCGCATTGGAGAACTCTATCTCGAAATAAATTTATAATACATTATAAATGGTTTAATTTCATTGCAGGAGAACGTTGGTTTTTGAATTAATATCATTTTTATCTTGGTTTCTATGAGCTTCTTCCCAAACCTTAGTAAATTCGTCCGGTTATCTTCGCTCGGGTGCCCATTTTTCGCCCGGCACTAAAAGGGTTAAGAGTTAAACTCATCGAACGTATCGCAAAGTGGCGTTACCAGTACCGGATGACCCAGCAGGAATCGTGCCCGTGACGGTGCCGATTCTATACGTCTCCCGCAGCTGCACCGCCTCGCCGCTGTGCCCGATATCGTCGAAACACTTGGTGCCATCCTTTCCAGCCTGCTGCAACAGCGGCTCCTCCCCGCCGGGGTGTTCCTTGAAGAATTTCGTCAAGTCGTACACGCCGTCCTTGTAAATCATCCACAGGTCACCCTCGCGATTGTGCTTGGCCACCTCCTCCGCCGTGTACACATTCGACATCTCTCAAAATTCCGGATCTCTTCCCTCCCGATCGAAGTCCTCCGAATCTGCTCGCAGAAAGGAAAGGAAACTTGGCGAGGAATTGCGCCCGATAAATTTCCCAATCGAAAGTAGTTATCGTTGGAAACCGCCTTATCATGATGATCGTTGTTTTCTACTGTGACGTTCTCCGGGCTAAATATGATTCGATAATATTTAACACTAGAACTACCGAGCATTTGATACGATTAATATGCAGTTTCTTTAGACATTCATTATAGTAGTCTAGGGAAACTATCTATTTTCAAAATCATTTCGAATATTCAATGCTTCGAAGATATCAATAATTCCGAAACAAAAAAACCAAAACCAGTCATTTTGACTGGTACGGTAGTTCTAGTGTTAAATTCCGTTATCTCGTGATTCGTTGATTAACACTAGAATCACTAATTGAATCAAAATGACCCATTCGAAAATTTCTATTTCACAATTATCGAAATTACGAGAATCCCTTCGTGGGAAACACCAAAATAAATTTCGCTTCAAATCTCAAGAAACGTGCTCCGACAATCTTCATATGAAATTGTAAATAAATTGCACAAATTTATAGGCAGTTCTAGCGTTAACGAATGAAACGAATTCCTCCAAATCAGCACGCAGAAAGGCGACACTTCGGCGAACAGAGGCGACACGGTTCGAAACGAAGGCAGGTTTCATCGGGAGACAAATATTCCGCGTTCGAGCGCGATAGACACTTCTCCGAACCTCTATTCGAGCCTCGATCGCGATAACATTGCGGGCACCGTGTTTTAAAAGGGAAAACAGCAACTGGGACGACTGACACCGGAAGAAGAAAAGCCGACTCGGGTTTTAGCCGAGGTCTGATCGGCGACCTTCCTTTTCTATTCTTCGCTGCCCCCCTCTCGACCGTGAAAGTTCGTTTCTAGGCCAACTCTTTCGATTTCTCGTGGCCGTCGACGAGTTTCCTCGCGTACGATACGTTGCAACGTTCCTCGGACCTATGTCGAAGTAGATTTTCCGTGAAAATTGTTATTCAACGAATTTCAAACGAGTTGTCTAGCCGGAAGGAATGCGCCGTCATCGTGATGCGCGACGTCTCCGATTGAAAATTCCAGGTTTACGCGGACTCACCGGTGTTCTCGATATACTAGGTGCTCTGGAAGTATTCGAGAATCGACGGACGAGGAAACTGATTTTGATGGTTTAGAAAGTAATTTTCCCAAATATTCCAATCATCTAGTATACCATTTCTAATCGTGTTACGTTATTCCTTTATTTGTTCGATGATGCTGCTGCTAATTCGCTTTGTAATAATCTCCCAGCAAGAAAAGATGCTTACTAGTGTATTAAAGTATATTTTACATCACTTGAACAATACTCACACATCGAGTTCAAAATCTTCAGCAAGATGACTCAGTATAAAGTCAACTATTAACTCCGTAACTGTGAATCTCTAAATCGTTTCTAATTGAAAGCGTTTACGAGTAACAACAAATAACAGGAACAATGTTCTAGTTCGTATAATTTAGGAACGATTTCCTGAATTGAATTCTACAGTTAACCAGTTAAGTGTGGAATTCAGTTTGAAAACTCTCTTTGCGCGCAATAAAATCAAATAATGAAAAACTAAAGCGAAGAAGAATTACACGTTTGTTTCGAAGAATAAATAAGCCGTTGAAATGTTAGCATTGACCCTTTGACATTTTCTGATGAAATACAGACGACATTGTTTGAAACTAATTTAACGAGAATTCACGGATACATTAAGAAACAAAGCTATTTTATTTAAATATTTCAACTTCATAGTTTCGCTGTATCAAATCAAGTGACGACTGAGAGTCACCTTTCGAGTGCAAAGGGTTAAGAGTTTCAAGATGACGTGTATACTCGTCGAACACAGTTAACCTTTCGCACTCGAGAGGTGACCGTCAGTACCATTTGATTTGACGCAGGAAAATTAGAAAATTTAATATTCAATATCAAACTATGTATAACGAAAAAAGCTTTGTTTCTCAATTTACCTGTGATTTCTCTTTGAATTAAAAAAAAACCATCGTCTTTATCCAGTTCGAAAATATGAAGTACTGCTAACGAAATACTTCGAAGTGCAAAGGGTTAACCGGTTAAAGGGCCAATTCGCCGAAACTGTTTAACCTAAAAACGTCGAAAACACCCGAAACCTTTTACCCAGATTCTACGGCGGATCGAGTCCGTTAATCTCGGCCAGATAAGCTCACCTGCGTTCCCACTCGGTCACTTCCCTGAGTGCGCACTGAGTGTCCCCTCGGCGGCGAAATGATTTCCCTCGATTGACCTTAACCGATCGCGGCCCGACGTCGTACTGAGTATCCCCGACGGCGGACAGTTCAACAGCTTTTGCGTCGGTTTCCGAAGTTGTATCCCGCAGTCCCGCTTAATAATGATTTCATGAAAATGCATGGACCGGCGGTCAACACTCATTTGCACAGAATGAAATTGCGTTCAGCGATCAATGAGTCCTTGATTAAACTATCGGCACCGGGCGAATTCAATTTGTCAACGCACGGCCGGCCCCGTTGTTGCCGCGCCGTTTACACCGCCCCCGGGGGAACCACCGCGGGGGAAAAGTAACAAAAATCCGGCAATTATCATTCGCCCTCGTCGCTCTCGAATAAATAACCGCAGAAGGTTTCCCCGGTTAATGAGCGCCGCCTATTAAGCATCGAGTTTGCCGTGCAACGCGATACT